TCCCTTATTTTCGTTTCCGCGTTATTAAATTCCTTTTCCTCCTCTTCTTCCTCTTCCTCCTCCTCTTCTTCTTCCTCCTCCTCTTCTTCCTCCTCCTCCTCCTCCTCCTCCTCCTCCTCCTCCTCCTCCTCCTCCTCCCTTGCCCAATTTTCGCGTCATCATCCCACTCCTTGTTTATTATCATTCTCCTTTTTTCTTTTCCTTTCTCTTTTGGTTCTTGTTGTCGTCTTTTCTCCTCTTCTTCCTTCTCTCACGATCATTCTCTCTTCCTCGTATTTTTTATCTTTATTTACCCTCCCTCTTCGACATTTACTTTTTTTTTTCTCTCTCTCTGTTTTTCGCTTTATCTAAAATATTCTCTCTCTCTCTCTCTCCTCTTCCTTTTTCGTTTTAACGCCTCCCCGTTCTCTTCTCCTCTTCCTTTCCTTTCCTTTCCTTCCTACCCCTTTCTGTCTTCCCACTTCTCCCTCTTTTTTCCTCCCCTCTTTCTCCCTTTCTCCTCCCTCTTCCTCCCTAACCCTCCCTCCCTCCCCACTGTTTCAGCTCCCCCTCTTCCCCTCGTCCTCTCTCTCTCTCTCTCTCTCTCTCTCTCTCTCTCTCTCTCTCTCTCTCTCTCTCTCTCTCTCTCTCTCTCTCTTTCTCTCTCTCTCTCTCTCTCTCTCTCTCTCTCTCTTCTCTCTCTCTCTCTCTCTCTCTCTCTCTCTCTCTCTTCCTCCTCCTCCTCCTCCTCCTCCTCCTCCTCCTCCTTCTCTTCCTCTTCTCTCCCCTCCCCCTCTCCCCTTCCCCCAGGGAGGGGGAGGAGTGTGGGAGGAGGATGGGGGAAGTGGAGAGGGAGATTAGGGAGGGGAAAAGAAGTGAGGGGGGGGAGGGAGGATAGGTCAAGTAGGCAAGGGAGAGAAGTGGACGGGGGGGGAGGGGAAAGTAGAGGAGAGGTGGGGGGGGGGGGTAGAACGAGGTGAGAGGAGGGGGGGAGAGGGAAAGAACGAGGGGGGGAGGGGGGGAGGGGAAGGTTAAAAAGAGAGAGGAAAGGACACACAAAGAACCAGTGACTCTTATGGAAGTCCGAGATTCTTTTGGCCTGGCTCTTTAAGCGTCATTCAAGTTTCCTCCTCTCCTGCCCCCTCCCCCTCCCCCTCCCCTTCCCCCCCATGGCCCCGCGCCCCTCCGACCCTGCCCTGCCCCCTTCCCCCTCTCTTATCTTCTCCCCCTCCTCCCTTCCGTCTCTCACCTCCTTGCTTCCCCGCTTTACTCTCTCTTCTCTCTCTCTCTCTCTCCTTTCCCCTCTCATTTCTCTCCTCTCCTTCCCTCTCCCCATTCATCTCTCCTCTCCTTCTCTCCCCCCTCTCCTTCCCTTCTCCTTTTCCATCTCTTCCTTCCTTCCCTCCTCCTCTTCATCTCTTCCCTCCTCCTCTTCATCTCTTCCCTCCTTCCCTCCCTCTTCACTTTCTCTCCCTTCCCTCCATCCCTCCCCTTCACTTTCTCTCCCCCCCCTCCTTCCCTCCTCCTTCACTTTCTCTCCCTTCCCTCCCTCTCCCCATCCTTCTACCGCCTCCTCTCCCCTCTGCCACCCCCACCCCCCTCTCACCGCACACCACCGACTTTAGTTTCTTCTTCTCTCCCCTCTTTTTTCCCCCTCCCCTTTCCTCCCTTCCTCACCTATCACACTACCCTTCGCTGCCCGTGCTTCCTCCCTCCCTCCCTCCCTCCCTCCCTCCCTCCCTCCCTCTTCCGCTGTCCCTCTCCTCCCCCTCCTCCTCACCCTCCCTCTCCCTCTCCCTCTCCCCCCCTCCTCCTACCCCGGCTCCAGCTCGCTATGTTGCACACACACACAGGGCGTGGTGGCCCTCTCACTCGCTCTCTGTCGCTCCCTCTCTCATTCTCTCTTTCGCTCTCTCGGTTTCTCTTTCTCTCTCTCTCTCTCTTTCTCATTCTCTCATTCTCTCTCTCGGTTTCTCTTCTCTCGGTTTCTCTCTCTCTCTCCTCTCTCCCCTCTCTCTCTCTCTCTCTCTCTCTCTCTATCTATCTGCTCCTCTCCTCCTCCTCCTCCTCCCCTTCCTCCTCCCTCCCTCCTCCCTCCTCCTTCCTTCCTCCCCCTCCCTCCCCCTCACGCCCCCGCACTTCCGATCCATTCTCCCTCTGCCTTCCTACCTACCTACCTACCTGCTTGCTCCTCCTGCTTTCCACCTTTTCTGCTCCCTCCCCCCCTCCGACTCTCCGCCCTTTCCCCTCCTCCTTCCCCCCCCCCACGCCTACCTTGAGCTAAGCCCCGCCCATTCGGCAGACCGCGCTCCTGTGCCTCCTCTGCAAACTCGGTACTAAAAGCCGTGATGTTTAATGCAATAAGTTTATTGAGAGGGGGGGAGGAGGGGGAAGAGGGGAAGGAAGGGGAAGAGGAAAAGAGGGAGGGGAAGGAGGAAGGGGAGAAGGGGGAAGGGGAAGGAGGAAGGGGAGAAGGGGAAGAGGGGGAAGGGGGGGAAGGGGAAGGAGGAAGGGGAGAAGGGGAAGAGGAGAAGAGAGGGGAAGGGGAGAAGGGGGAGAAAGAAGGAGGAAGGAAGGGGGGAAAAGGGTAGAAGGATGGATAGGAGGAGGAGGAGGAAGAGGAGGACGAGGAAGAAGAAGAGAATGAGAGAGTGAAGGAGGAAGATAAGATGGGGAAGGGATGAAATGAGGAGGAGGTAAAGAAAGAGGAAGAGAAAGAAAAATGGGAAGTTAAAAGGGAGGAGGGGAAGGGAAAAGTGAGAGGGGGGGGGAGAAGGAAAAGAGAAAAAATAAAACTAAGGAAGAAATATGAGGAGGGAAAAGAGGAAGAGGAGGAGGAGGGAGAGGAGGGGAAGGGGAAAGGGCAAGGTGGGGAAGGGGAGGAGAGAGAGAGAGGGGGGGGGAGAGGGGAGGGGGAAGTGCGAGGCGGAGGAGAAGGGAAGTGAAAAGGTGGAAACATCGGATGATATGATTGGCTTTGGAATCATTTGATCCTTACCTGGGCGGGGCCGGTGGGAGCCCCCCCCCTCCCTTGCTTCCCCACACCCACCGCTCTCTCTCTGCCTGTCTGTCTGTCTGTTTGCTTCTGTCTCTCTTCTCTCTCTCTCTCTCTCTCTCTCTCTCTCTCTCTCTCTCTCTCTCTCTCTCTCTCTCTCTCTCTCTCTCTCTCTCTCTCTCCTCTCTTCTCTCTCTCTTCTCTCTCCTCTCTCTCTTCTCTCTCCTCTCTTCTCTCTCTCTCTCTCTCTCTCTCTCTCTCTCTCTCTCTCTCTCTCTCTCTCTCTCACTTTCTCTCTCTCTCTCTCTCTCTCTCTCTCTCTCTCTCTCTCCTCTCTCTCTCTCTCTCACCACACTTTCTCTCTCTCTCTCACTCTCTCTCTCTCTCTCTCTCTCTCTCTCTCTCTCTCTCCTCTCTCTCTCACTTTCTCTTCTCTCTCTCTCTTTCTCTCTCTCTCTCTCTCTCTCTCTCTCTCTCTCTCTCTCTCTCTCTCTCTCTCTCTCCTCCCTCTTCTCTCTCTCTTCTCTCTCCTCTCTCTCTCTCTCTCCTCTCTTCTCTCTCTCTCTCTCTCTCTCTCTCTCTCTCTCTCTCTCTCTCTCTCTCTCTCACTTCTCTCTCTCCTCTCTCTCTCTCTCTCTCTCTCTCTCTCTCTCTCTCATCTCTCTCTCACACACACACTTTCTCTCTCTCTCTCACTCTCTCTCTCTCTCCTCTCTCTCCTCTCTCTCTCTCTCTCACTCTCTCTCTCTCTCTCTTTCTCTCTCTCTCTCTCTCTCTCTCTCTCTCTCTCTCTCTCTCTCTCTCTCTCTCTCTCTCCTGTATGAGTCATTCGTCGAACGCTGACGGTGAGTCACACCTGCTTTCTAGCCTGAATCAGGCCCCCTCCCTCAACGCCTCCCCTTTGTTTCCTCTCCCCCCCCTCTTCCCTCCCCCTCCCCCCCTCTACCCTCCCCTCCCCCTCCCCCCTCTCCGTTCAGCGCCACTGTGCTGACGACGGCATTGGTACTGATAAATAGGGAAGGGGAAGAAGAGGAAGAGGAAAAACAGGAGGAGGAAGAAGAGGAAGAGGAGGAAGATGAAAAGATAGAAGAGGAGATGGAGGAGGAGGAGAGGGACGAAAGAGGAAGAGGTGTATGATGATGAGGAGAGAGAAAAACCTAAAAGAGGAAGTAGAAAGTAGGGAAAAAAACGGACGAGAGGAAGAAGGAAGAGGCAGGGAAGAAGACAGAAGGAAGAGAGGGTTAAGAAGAGGAGGAAAAAAGGGGAAAAAAACATGGAAAATGGGAGGAAGAGGAAGAGGAAGCAAGAGGGAGGAAGAGGAGTGACCTGGCGTTGGCGTTTAATATTCATAATTTATGTATGACTTTGATCCGGCCGCTCGCTTCGGAGGGAGGGTTGCCAGTTAGGGGATAAGGGGCGATTGTGATGGAGGGAGGGAGGGAGGTGAAGGAAAGTGAGGGAGGGGAGGGAGGGGAAATGAGGGAGGGAGGGAGGAAAATGAGGATAAGGGGCGGTTATGATGAGGGAGGGAGGGTTGCCAGTTAGGGGATAAGGGGCGATTGTGATGGAGGGAGGGAGGGAGGTGAAGGAAAATGAAGGAGGGAGGGAGGGAAATGAGGGAGGGAGGGAGGAAAATGAGGGAGGGAGGGTTGCCAGTTAGGGGATAAGGGGCGATTGTGATGGAGGGAGGGAGGGAGAAAAATGAGGGAGGGAGGGTTGCCAGTTAGGGGATAAGGGCGATTGTGATGGAGGGAGGAGAGGGAAGGTGAAGGAAATGAAGGAGGGAGGAGAAGATGGAGGAAATGAGGAGGAGATGGAGGAGAATGAAGGGATGAGGGTAGGGTGAGGGATGGGAGAGGGGGGGAGGGTGATAGAGGAAAATGGAAGGAGGGAGGAAGATGGAGGAAAATCAGGGAAGTGCGCCTCCTCTTTTCTCCATTTAGAAGGAATGTAAAGAAGGAGGAAGGATGAAAATGAGGGAAAAAACAGTCCCAAATCTCAGTCTGGCTCTCAGTCTCACTCTCAGTAAATCACTCTCAGATCTCGATCACAGTTCCTTTCCTCACTTTTTCTCGACCCCGAATCTCAGTGGAAACCTCAAACTCAGCGTGAATTTCAGTCTCAGCCCAAATCTCAAACTCAGCCTCAATTTTAGTCTCAGTGTAAATCTCCATCTCAGTGTCAGCCCAAATCTCAAACTCAGTGTAAATTTCAGTCTCAATGCAAGTCTCCCATCTCAGTGTACGTCTCAGTCTCAGTCTCAATGTAAATTTCAGTCTCAGCGTAAGTCTCCATCTCAATCTCAGCCCAAATCTCAAACTCAGCCTCAATTTTAGTCTCAATGCAAATCTCCCATCTCAGTGTACGTCTCAGTCTCAGTCTCAATGTAAATTTCAGTCTCAGTGTAAGTCTCCATCTCAATCTCAGCCCAAATCTCAAACTCAGCCTCAATTTTAGTCTCAATGCAAATCTCCCATCTCAGTCTCAGTCTCCGTCTCCGTCTCAGTCTCAGT